CTTGAACTGCGTTTTTATTTGTTTATGAACATTTATGTGAACCTGAGTGGAATTTTAATTGTGACTTGTTTCCATAATCCTTACTGTAAAAGCAAGGTTTATTTCTTTTTCAGTAGCAAATAAATCCTTCAATTAATGCATCCACATCCAGTGTTGTAAGAAGTCTGAACACTGAAACATCTGCTTTTTGAAATCCGTTGATGGGAAATTCTGGTAGGACTTTGCTGAGAGAGGAACGAGCTGAAACCATTACAATCAGGGAACAGGCTGAATTCATCATGTTTTTGAAAACTTGCTTTGATGTAGTTGAACTGCCTTCATTCCAGCTGTGAGAGCAGTCAAGATTAGGTTAAAATAGAAAGTATTTTCTGTTCCTTCTGCAGGCATGGTTCTTTGATTGCTGTGGTTAAAAGGCAAGGATGAGTTTAGAGTGGTCTTTGTTAATGCTTGTCAATACAGCAGAACTGTTGCCTGGTTTGCTACAATTATAGTTCTGGGCTTCCTAAAAGAGCTGTGCCAAGAGGGTAAGACCACGTGGAGCAACAGCATTTATTGGTTTGTTATGGGTGTGGAATTAATTTACTGACTTCTGGAGGTACTAGAAAGATGTTGCCACGTTTGTTTGAGAACAGAGCACATTGCAATGAATAAGGAAGGTTCAGGGGGGTTTGCAGGTAAAATAATGAACTTAGAAAGCTGAAAGCAATTTTTTTATTATTTTGGCAGTTCTTTTATGAGTTATTTGGTTTAAATGATAGGCATGACTATTGAATGGAGCCTGCGAGGTTCTTTTTTTAAAAAACCATGCAATACTGTTGAGTTTTGTAGGGATGAGAGACAAAAGCTTCTTATTTGTTAAAGCATACAGTGAAAATATTGCAGCTGCCAGTTGCAAATGAAAGGTGAAATTGTTTTCTTTATGATTTGTACTTTCAGATTTTATTGGTATCACATATTTACTTGTAATATTTACACATTAGAATCCACTTTTTAATGTCTGTGCGTTTTGCCTTGCTGTTAGGCAGTTGAGCAGCTGAACATAAAACCCAAGAGCTACAAGGATCTCTTGACAGATGAGCCCTTCACTCGGCAAGACATCGTGACACTGCAGGTAAACTTTTCTCTCTGTTACGTGTCGTACTATAGAGGTTTTTTGCAGGGAATGAAATGTTGATCTGTACTCTGTTCTAGAAGGAAACTAGGATAATTGAACAGAGAAACTTTGTTGTGTTTTCTTTGTTACCCAGATGAGCCACAAAGATGTCATATAACACAACAACAGCACCAAGAGTAGTAAGATGTCCCACATGGTCTGGGAAATCAGAACAAACATAGGTTAGAATGTAAGGTATTTAAACTTCTAGGAAGTTGGCATGTTGCATTAAGACTGAAGATTGTCCATCTTACTCTTTCAAAGATGTCTAAAAGAGTCAAAGCTCCAGAAAAGCATTTTCTGTAGAATGTTTCCCTGAGTGTAGAGTAAAATAAGCAGCAAACCAGGGGATTTTTGCAAAGTGCTTGCTTAGAATGTTGTTCTTCTGAATAGATACCAATGTTGGTCTTTCACTGATTTTAGCAGGATTAAAACCTAAATTGAAACAGCGCTGTAAATTTCAGGCTGTAAAAGATGGATGAAGTTTAGTAGCAAAAGATCTAAACCTTTTGTTTAAAAGTAGGCACTTCGAAGCTTGCATGATTTCAAAATGGGGGAAGAAAGATTCCAGAATCATTATTATTGGAGTCATGAGTTACTGTGTATCTCAGGAACAGTTAATTGCTGCTAACCAAGACTAATACAGTCTAATTCAAATAGGAAAATATTTTTCATTGATGTCTGAATTTAAATGAAGTCTAGCCCTTCTTCCCTACTCCCCAGTGCTTAACAGCATGTTTTAAAATATTTCTTCTCTGTTCTTTTGGGCTTGTTGCTGTTCAGGCTAATGCAGCAAAGTAAAATGTTTTTAATCCAATGGCAGCAAAACCCTTAGCTTTTTTCAGATTGAAAACTCCCAACAGAATGTCATTTGAATGTAACTGCATAGTTGCTAATGGATTTGGAACAGTAGAAAAAGGCAACATAAGTGGCTAAAAATGTTTCTGTGCACCAGTATGGAAAACTAAGTTATTTTGAACAAATAATTGGATTGTGCAGTCATTAAAAAAATGTTTTGATATGTGTTTTGGAGGGTTGAAACTCAATGTGTGTATAAAGATGTGTTCCTGTTACTTGCCTAGCTTTGATTTTTCACAGATGGTCTAGTCCCCTAAATGTCAAAGTGCCACAGCTAGCAATTTAGTTGTTCCCTATGTGGGTTTTTATCAATATTTTTCATGCTCATTCTGTTCTTGACATGTTGGGTTTCTGTCTTGCTTGGAGGAATATGTCTGTTGACAGAAACTAGGTAGATTCTGATACTTGTCCTGTTACTGGTGGAGTCCTCCTGCCAACTGCAAGAAGACCACAGCCACACATTGTGTGCACCTCACTCCTGTCTGTTTAGGGTGACTTTTTTAATGTGTGAGTAGAGTTGTTCCTCTTAAGTAAACAGTTCTTCATGGGTTGGTGTTGACTTCTGTAGTGTACAATCTTGTGTTGTACTCTTCTTAAATCAGTTTAGAATAGCAAAGATACCCCCATCTTGGAATTGGACTGGAAGAGATTTTGACCATCTGAATGCTGTTGACCAGATAAAGTTTGACCCTTCACCAAATTAGTTTAAAAATTTTTTGGTTTTTAAAAGGGTTTTTGACAAACAGACTTAAAGGGTGTTGAAGTAAGAGCCATTTAATGCACTGCACAACACCCACTGCAATCTTGCACGTAGAACTTGATTTCTTCTATTCAAATGCTGCCCTACCCTGACTTGCTTTGTTGAGGTCAGGATTCAACCTGAAGTGGCATGACTAGCCTGGGTATTAAAATAGCTTAAATAAATGTGGCATAGAAATGTGTTGCTATTTTCTCATGTTTTTTTTTCATATAAATTATTGAAAGACAGACCAGTGTCTCCTCTACCAGCTCTGTTGTTGACAACACCGCAGGCAGTGTGGTGGCTTCACACTGCCAAGCTCTACCACCTGTGGCTCTGTTTCTTAGCCAAAGTTCATGACTGCAATCTGTTGTGTTTCAGTTTGTCGCACCAGAGCTCTATCCTAAATCCTGCTTCTCTTGAAAAGCTTTCAGTTCTGTGTTGAAATTTATCACTTTGTGGTTTTCCCATTCCCCCATGTAAATTGAGCACTGTGGTATCTGAGAGATCGAATTGAGAGTGAGCTGGTGTCACTGACCCTGTTGTTTGGCAAAGAGGTAGATATAAAGGAAGTTGCTATAAAAAACATTCTTTGCTTTGCAAATAACAGCTGAATAGTGCTGTCTGTAATAGCTGTGTTTAGCAATAGAAAATAGCATTTCCAGAGGCTGACTCTGAGTGTCCTGGGAAGCAGATGGGGTACCTGTGATTGGTAGTGAAATGCAATACAATAAATGGAAAATATGATCACATTTTTCCTTATTGATACATAAAGGGCAATCCTGCAGCTGCTAGGGCTGTTCTTTTGCTAGAACAGCAATTGACCTCAAACTTGACTTCTCTCTCCTAATACATATAACTCAAAACAAAAAAATTTTCTCTTTTCAGAAGAGACAGAATTCAGTAATATTTGTTTTCTGTTCTTGGTGCTAAACATTATTCAAACACTAATCCTTCCCTGTTGTGCTTTCTGGTGGGCACCATCTCAGCTGGTTGCTTTGAATTCAGTAATAGTTAGTTGTGCCCTATTGCTATTAAGGTTGCTTGTTAAAAGGGCAATTTTTTTTTAATCTGGAACTAAAAAAAGCAAAACCATAACTGTAAGTTGTTAATAATACTGTCTTCGATCTATGATGTGCTTCTCTTTGTATAGGAATCCACAGTGCATCCTACACATCCCTATACAGAAATTGCATTTTCCCCTGTTGAAATGCAAATGTCCTGGGGTAGAGCATGGCACTTTTTCATCAGCATATGGCAGCATTATCTAGCCACTCAGGGCAGGAGGTAAAGAGTAATTCCATATCCTGGTGTGCAAGATACATTACCAAAGCTGGAGTGTAGTTATTCAAGCAAAAGATGTCATAGATTCTGATTTAACATCTTGCTGATAATGACAGAAATACACATGACATTATTGCGTATGAAACCCTTCCTAGACACCAGCACTCTGAGTATGATAGGATTTTTTAGACTGTAGCTCTTCACTTAAAGTTGAAATTTCCTCTTCTTATCTTGCCACAAACTCAAGTCAGGCTTTCCATCTTCTGCAGTGCAGGTCTTATATTTTTCCAGGTTGCTCTCTCCATACAGTTTAGCATTATTTCAGGTAATTTTTTCTCCCACCTGTGCTGGTTCATATCTCTTTTAAATGGAATATTGCTGTTGTATTTTGTCTGTCTTTCTTATAACTCTAAACCCACTTATATTCTTCACCTTGAAAGATGATCAGCTCAACTTAACTCAGCATCCCTTGCAAATGGCAGGAATGTGCTATCAGCTGACAGACAGCTCGAGTACTCTGAGATTTATTAGTTCTACTTAATGTCTAAGGTACGATGGAAAGCACTTGGAGATCTGTGGGGACAGTGTATCGGTAAATGGGAAAGCTGATATGCCTGATGCTTGTTTGCAGTGTTCTTCCCTCCCTGTTCTGCTTCCCATTCTGGTACACTGCTCTTCGTCCTTTCACTTTGCAATTGTTTTCAAGATAGGATTCAGCACAGCTTTGAAAGAGTTTTGACATAATAAGATTGCATTAGACCTCCGTGCAGAACTAGGTGATTCTTTCAGTCCTATGATTTACAGTTTTTCAGCTAGTTTTCAATCTAACCTGATTTTAACCTGATTCAAAGTTATTTTCCAAGTGGGTTTTTTGGGAGATGTAATTGAGCGTTAGATCTCCAGGTCTGCCGTGCACCATTTAATATTTATGACAAAACGTGATCAACAGTCTGGTAGAAATTCTTGTTAGTTAGTGTGACTGTAATCTGTGTATGTTTCAGTCCTGTATTTTGCAAACTGTTATTTGTGTAATGATCTGGAACTTAATACCAAGCACATAAATAAGTATAATCTGGATTCCCTTGTATAAGAGCAGGCAGGCTGAAGCAAGTGCCTGCCCCAGCTAAAGATGCAGAGAGGAACATGGTCACATAGTGCTTTGCTGGATGTATTGCTGGGCTCTGACAGTCCTGTGGACTTCTTCCCATTGTGGCTAGTGTGAGAATGTCCTGAGGAGAGCCAAGTAAGACTGCTGCAAAACCCTGATTTCACGTCCCATTTGGTAGAAAGTGCTCAGAGGAGCTCAAAACAATTTCCCCTTAGCACCCTGTCAATTTGTCATCCTCTGCTGTGTCTCTGTTCGCAAACAAGAAACAAACTCAAATTTGTGAGGATACAGCAGAAATTATTCCTGTTTTGGAAACTCTTAGAAGCTATTGCTGGACTATGTGCTGGCAGGGGAAGGGATTTAATGAGAAGTACAGGTCTGCTGATGGCAGTGCTGCAGGTAAAGCAGAGGCAGAGGTGGTGTTCCTCGAATTGCAGGAAGGCCCCTAGCCCTGTTGTGCCAGTGGGAACAGGCACAGTGCTCTGTTGGCAGCCTGTGCAGAGCCTTCCCTGCTAACAAATGCATCTGCTTCGCACTGCAGAAATGGAGGAGGAAAAAAGAAAAAAAAAAAGTAAAAAAGTCTGGGTAAATGCTAACAGGTTTCCTGCCGTTACAGGAGAAACAAAGGCTCATTCTGGTATGTGCTTCCTTATGTCAATTTTATTGTTTCTATATAACCTAATCAGCCATGGACAAGACATGGTTCCCGACAAGCTGTTAAACACCACTGACATTTGTGGCAGGAAGCATAGCTAATGAGCAGAGCTGGAGGTAGCTGAGCTGCACACTGTTAATTGATATTTCACTCCTCAGCTATTCCTCATTTGCTCTTTGTGTGACAGAAGGTCAGTGCAGATTTCCTTGTGGTTGTGGGTGAGGGCGCTGTGAGAATCCTGCACCCGTGCACGTGCAGAGTAGCTGGTAAAGAAGTAGGACGTGGTCAGCACATGAAGGTAACAGTCCCAAAGATAACTGGGGAGGCAGCATGGCTACCAAATGGTAAGAGGAATTAGTCCTCAAAGAAATTACACAGTCTAACACTGCAGGGTTTAACCTGATTTTTGGGGTGTTGTGTGTATGGTGCTTAAGATTAATAGAGTTTAAGCCGTTTCCCTAAGTAGGTAAAACCAGAAAATGTAGGAAAAAACCCAAGTGGAATAAAACTTGAGATTGTTTTCAGAGCTCAGCTTTCAGGAAAGCTCAAATATGAGGGGTTTAATAATCATGATCGTTAGCAACCCTTTGAAGTCTGTAACTGTGCTAGTAATTTGCTAAACTAAAGTTTATGGTTTGTAACCTTAAGAAAAACCCTGAGACTGCCAACCATGGTGATTTGAATACATATTTTTAAACATGCAAAGACAAACACAAGTAGGCCGAGTTACTCTTCATGGTTCATCTTCCTTGCTGGTTTCTGTGCATTTACACAGAACTTGCTTCTTTAGGTCATTGGGCTCTAGGCCTTAATCTTAACAGGATTGGGAACATCCCCATGAGTCCAGCCTTTGTCTGACCAGGAGGTGCCATTCATTCGTCAGAGCTCAAGGCTTTAATGATCTGGGTGGGTCTGTCTGCCCATCCCTGTGGCATCTGTTTTGAACTGCTCTGATTCTGTGCCCAGTAACTGTCATGGATGCAATGAGAGGAGCTTGGCAGGCTAATTATTAGTGTTTAGACAATTTTCTTCCTGAAGTGCTGTGTCTAAAGACTGTGAAACATTTACATGGTCCTACCTTTAAAAGATGTGTATCATGTTGTGGGACTCAGTACCATTAGTAAGGAAATGGTCTGTGTCTTCTGCAGCACAGGTTGGACTGGTCAGATGTGTTTCTGCTCTTGGGGGTGGTAGAAGAAAATGGTGTCTTGTGCTTAACTTAATATTCACTGCAGTACTCTCACTTGGTATGCTAATTCTAATTCACACTAATCCTAATCAAACTAATTCTAATCAAATTTCTTCTAGTGTATCATAATGTATCATAATGCTCTATTTTAGATGGAGGAATAAATACGTCGACTGCTGGTCCTGGGTGTTCTGTGTAAGATGATACTCAAATTTCTGCTTGAGGAACCATTTTTGAGGGGTTTTCCACTGACAGAGGGAAACCTGTTTCTGAGTAGGTGTGTGGGTTGTCCACCTTTTTGATGAGACCCTTACTTTGCAGAATCAGGAATGCAGGGACAACACCATAAACCAAACCTTTGTTAAGGTTTCCCTTTGAACAAATGGCCCACCTGGATGTGGTGATGAAGGACCTTGTGCAGAGGACCTTGGTCTCAGTTCTGGGGTTTGGAGTTGTCTCAGGTCTCCCAGAAAGCAGATGGATGGTGGTGATCTGCAAGGAGAGGGAGCTGCCTTGTGGCCTCTACTGTCCTTCATTCAGTAATGGATGCACTGCTGAAGGGGAGGCTGGCAGTGATTTGGAGAGCCCTGAGAAATCCCTTATGAGGAAGGAGACACTAAAGATTTTGCTGAAGTTGCTCAATGCCTGCAGTTAGGCTGGTTGAGCCAGGATTGAATGAACTGTGGCTGTGAAACAGTTTGAACTAACCTGATTTGTGGTACCCTGAGCACAAGCCCCTTGGTTTTCTAAGGCACTGGCAGTTGTGATGGCCTTTTATTTAGTTTTAAACAATCAATAAATGAAGGAGCTCTATTTAGAGGAACATCATGAAGGTGTTTTCTGTTTTATTTTTACTGCTGCCTCCTGTCTTCCCTCCTGTCCGTGAAAAATTGATTTGGAGAGTCAGTGTGGCCCGTCAGCTTTGCCATGAATGGCAGACATGTGGATTGCTTTAAATCCGTTTGTCTATGTTAATATTAATACACAGATCTTTTCTTCCCTTCCTGAAACGGTAAGTAGTCTTACTTCCTTCACCTTCTGAGGTGATACATTTATGTGCAGGGAGATAGATGATTTCTGTCTCGGAGAGCTGCAGGTCTTGATTACTGAAGAGTACTCTGAAGAGTATTTGGGAGGAGCAGCCTCTGTCTTGTGGAAACACACTGAGCTCTTTCTGCAGACTTTCTCTGTGCATCTTACTGACTGCCAGAGAGCAAGGCTCAAAATTGTCTCTCTTTACACATACATAAATATGTATGTGAGGTAATAAATAATAAATACACTTGAGTGCTGATGTCAGAGGATACAAAAATGGCTAAAACCATGTCCAAGTTTCCTATTTCTTAGTAGGTTTATTTAAAGAGTGTCTGTTTCTAATGCAAATCTTATAAAATATGTATTTTTTTAGCAGTCTTGATGAAGATCTGTTGGGGTGGTATAATGGGACAGGAAACAATGGAAAATTATTCTATAGTGGTTGGGAAAGGACACAGCAGAAAGCCAGGAGGTCAACATTAGCCTGCAGAATCACACAGCTTACTTTTACCAAATGTGTTTTGGTTTTAGTACCAGCAGTAAAAGGAAAAATGCACTCTCTGGCGGAAGCATACCATTACAGGGATGAATAAAAGGCATAATTAGATCATTTAATAAATTATGGAGCTACCAGCTTTGCTTGTAGTAAGCATTACTTTTAGCAGGCATGAAATTGTCAGAACCTATCAACAGTGGTGGTCTGAGAAGCCTTGTTAAATTTATTTGGGTTAATACATAACATATGTAAGACTATTCATGTCAGTTTTGTAGTTCTTTGCATAATATGTTGCCTTATTTTTATTCTGAATTTTAAACTATTGCACATTATTCTGTTACTTTGGTATTTTAAAGTTTGAATTGTTTTCTGTAAGATAGAATTTCCATAAATGACTGGTTGTCCTGGACTGATGTTTTGACCTTTCTGTGCTGCAGAGGAGCTTGAGGAGAAAACAGAGTCATTGTAAGAAGAGGATTAAGGACTGTTTAATAATAGTATAATGTAACCTAGATCACTGCTAGGCATTCCTTGTCTCACCCTCTCTAACAAAAGGTCAGAGTTTTGCAGAAAGTTGCCTAGAGATAGTATAAAGACTCACAGTTAATGGACTGTGTGCTTTTGCTGTTTTCCTCCAGTAGTCACTAAAGTGAGTTTTTATAAGAGCATTTTTGTTGCTTTTTCATTAATTTTTTTTTATTTTAAAACATACTTCTGTAGACACTGGTGGAAAAAGCAACTGTGAAAATAGTTCTTACTGCAGAGACATACTCTGAGGTTTATTTGTATTTTGAAATGCATTGCAGAAGTTCACATAGCATGTGCAAATCAGGCACAGGGTTATAAATAGAAGGAGATAGCTGATGTGCATTTGTGTAGATCTTAGACCAAACCACAGAGTGAAGGAAAGAACTGGGGGATTGCAGCTCCTTGTTCTTTTTCTCACTGGTTAGGGTAGATTCTACTTAGTTCTGTTAGTAGCTTCTGTAGGCAATACATGTGTAATATTATGTTTGGAACTGAATTTCAGGTCCCTAAGGAGTCTGCTGTGAACAGGCTCATTGCTGATGTTGCTTTGTATTTTTTCATCTTTCTGTGGTTTGGGGAGTATGGAAGATATTCTGTCTCTCCCTGTTCATTTACTGTGGCAGTGTCTGCCCTCAGACCAGTCTGTTGCATGGAATGGGTATCTGCCAAGCTCTCTGATAGTGTTTTTTTTAACTATCATTTTCAGGATCCAACAAACCTGGATAAGTTCAATGTCTCAAACTTCTTTCATGTTAAGAACAACATAAAAGTAGTTGATCCAGGTAAGGATGACTTGAAGGTAGGCTGAGAAAACACCAACCCAAATACACAAAATCTAATGACAGTGTTAGGGAATTGACTCTGTTTTCTGGATGGACATCCCTCAGGATTTTTGCCTCACAGGCCTGACTATCCTGTGAGGAGACAAAGGACAGAAGCTTATATTGTACCCAACTGTATTTTGTTCTATAAAAATATATAAACAATGTATAAACAGTGTATATTGTTCTATAAAAATTTTACAAGGACTTAGAGAATTTCTAGTGGTTTCAAGGAAACTTTTGCAGTAATTGGTTTCATTGTTTTTCTTTTCTTATACATCATATTGGCATTTGTTGTGCTATATTTTGAGTTATATTGTCATTAGTGTTACGCATTGCTATTTGTGGCTATGTCTGCAGGAGTAAATATAGATACAAGATATTTTTATTTTAAAAAAGTAGAATTAATATCTGAAAGATTTTTGAGTAATTAAATCTGTAATAAGCTGCAGGGAGAACAAAATACTATTTTCCTTTTAACTCTGAGTGATTTAACTTTGTCTTATCTAGATGAAGAAAAAGCAAAATTAGATCCATCTTACTATTTGAAAAACACAAACACAGAGACCCGAGAGACTTTGCTGGAGCTTTATAAGGAATTCAAAGGCGATGATATTCTAGCAGCTACTATGAAGGCTCCTGAAAAGAAGAAAGTGGATAAGCTGAATGCAGTAAGTTGACTTAATTTGTAGTTTGGCACTGATTGACTTGTTCAAGAATGGTAATAGATGTTTTTCAGCTTAGAGGCCATATTGCAGCATAAACAAACACTGCTCCTTCTGTTTTCTGTCACACGGAAATTTGTCACAGATGAAAATATGAGAATCATACTGGGATTCCTTAGAAATGCATTATATGTGTCAGAGAGTTGCTCTTTGTTAAGTCATTGTAAATGAACCTAAACATTTGAGAACTGGAGCATGATAAGAAGGAATAATCCTTATGATGTGGTTATGATGTATATGTTGGCAGAACCTTTTTCCCAGGTTGTAATTGCTCGCTTTGAATTTGTTTATCATTGCTTCCTGCAGTTATTGGCAGAGAGAGCACACCTTAAGGGCAGTGCAAGTGAATCATTTCTGGTGTGGGCAAATACGTAAATCATCCACAGCTGCTTCTCCTCTTTATTTTTTCCCCCCTGGAATGCAGGATTTTAGTGGAATGTTTTAAGGGATGTTCTTCCAGGTGCATATTGCTGTGTATTCGTGATTGTCAAGAGAAACAGTTCATCTGCATCTAGATTTCCTGCATCAAAGCTGCTTGGAATGGGCAAGACAGAGTATTCTTGTCCTTTAACAGTTCTGGGATGTGTGTGCCTTCTTGCTTTGAGTACACTTACATGAAAACAAATAGCAATGCAGCATACAGCTTTTAATGAAGAGGCTTAGAGACAGATTAGGGAATGTGACCAAGGAGTAGGATCACATTTGCCCCCTTTTTTCAGGGCATTATAATGTTATATTAGAAAAAAAGATGTAGGGAGAGAAAAAAGAGGTGAGAGAGAACCATGAGCTCTACAGATGCTGGGGAGTCAGATTGTCAGATAATGACATGGATGGGCACAGCTGCAAGCCTGTGTAGGATGCAGTCAAGCCTCACAGCTAGAGCATTGGCCTGGCCTGGATTCTTTACAGGCATCGCCCAGAGCTGCTAAATGTGTCTCTGGGTTTATTAGATCTTTGTAATTTACTACAAAATCCATGTGTGACGTTAACATTTCCTTTCTGCAGAAGAATTACAAAGCTCAAAATAGACATTGGGAGCCATGGGACAGTGCTGTGTGTGGGAGGGGGTGGTGTGCTCTCCTCCCCCGTATCTCTGTGGTTCACTGGATTTTTCTGCCACTTACTCAGCAACACTGGAGACTTTTACAGATGTCTTGCCAGCAATACTCCTTTCCTATCTCACCTGTGGACATAGAAATAAATTCTTAGAATCTTTGCATAGTGGTGTATTAAACTGTAGTGGAAGCATTAAGCCCCTTTGGCTCAGCGCATGAGCAGCCTTAACTGCAGTTTCATCAGAGCAAATGTTGTGGGTAACAGATGGAGAATTATCGCTGCATTGAGTATTTGTTTCTTTCAGTAGGATCTAGAGTGGAAAGTCTGCCCTCAGAAGGATGACATTTGTGTGTTTCTAGTGCTTATATAGTATCTTTAGTAGATAAATTCTAAGACCTTATGTGTTTTTCTCTTCCTTTTTCTTCTGTGAACAAACAGGCTCACTATTCCACTGGAGCTGTAAGTGCTTCCTTCACCTCCACTGCTATGGTGCCTGAAACTACCCACGAAGCAGGTACCAACACTACCTACCTACAAGCTGGTTATTTACTTTCCAGTTTTAAAGTGTGCCTTTTAGCATACATACATTTATAAGGACTGAAGGAATGCATTGGTAGTTGGTCAGTACTGATACCATGGAAATGTATTCCCTGAGCAAATACATCCTTACTTTCCAGTGAACTCATTCTGAAGATAATAGAGCAATTAGGAATTAGCTTTGGCTTTGAATGACAGTTACTTATGTCGAACTGAAATTAATGAGGCATTTAATGCAATAAAATTTTCCATTTGTTGTCCAGCCTAAACACAAGTGTATAAAATTTATTTGATTTGGATATTGATTAAATAGCTGATTGATTAATATTTCCATTTGAAGAGAAAATTCTGGTTTTGAGCATTAAACTTTAGATGTCACATAGTTAGGCTAAGATTGAACACATTGCTGAAACTACATTTACCAAGTTCAGTTTCGTTACTTGGTGGATTACAGTGATTTGCAGGTCACTCTTTGAGTGTTCAAAATATCTGACTAACTGGACATTTTGCCAGAATAGGAGTGGAAACATCCTACATTGATCCTTCAGTTTGACTTTCCAGTAATGTTTCCAGTAACAGCTTCATTTGTTTTCAGAACTGGGTAGGTCTCCATGTCAGCAGTTTGTGGTTGACTGATGACTGCCTGCTTGGCTTCCAAGTTTGACAAGAAACAATTTGGTTTCAAAGTAGCATTCATGGTTGGTAGACATTACTTGAAAATTATAGTTCGTAATACTGAATGCCTCTGTGACTTAAAAATGTAGAATATATTGTTGGTTCTTGAGGAATTGGTGGTTTTCTATAATGGAAAGTGTTTTGCACAGAGATTAATGTGAAGTCATCATAGATGAATTGGAGAGCACAATCCATTCATAGATTCTACTGACCTGTAGAATCTATGAATTGTTTCCTGATGATTTCTAAAGATCAGTGAGTAAGCTTCCAGAGAGCTAATTACTGTCTTTTGCTTTGATACAGCTGCTATTGAAGATGATGTTGTGAGATACCAATATGTGAAGAAGAAAGGATATGTGCGACTTCACACTAATAAAGGAGACCTGAACTTGGAACTGCACTGTGATATGGTACTGGAGCCCATAAGATTAATCTCTGTAGATAACAAAAGCAGTTGGCGCTGGCAATGGAAATGTCCAAATAAAGGAATAGTTGTAGTAGTTACAGATAAAATAAGTAGCTTTCGGGTTGTTTTGGTGTATTTTCATAGATACACAAAACTCCATTGTAAAATCTCTAATATTTTATATATAATACTGCCATATGTATCAGTGTTCTCTGTGAGTAATCCCATTATTTTGGTGGACTGTTTACAACATGTCAAGGTACGTGTTCAGAGCTTCAAAGGGTCATGATTACAGTGACCTGATCAATGACAAGGAAGGAAAAGAGAAAAGAGAAGGCAGAGCACAGAGAAGAGAGAATAATCTAAGGTTTCACAGCAGGTTACTGGCAGAACCAGGAACAGAACCTCTGTGAAACCAAGAGCAATTTGTCAGCTTGAGTACATGTTGTTAAGATCCCCAGAAATGGTTATATTTGTTTCCAAAGCCTCAGCTTTACAGAACAAACCTAAATGAAAACCTTTGACTTTGTTTTTCACTTCCCGTTGTCTCAGTTTTTGAAGTTCAAGTTTGCAAACATCTTCCCTTTGCCTTTAAGAGATGTTCATTTTATAAAACAACAGACTAGAGTTTTTTATAGTCTGTACAGTCTGTTTATGGGGGAAATCTGTGACTCTTAAAATAATAAGCATGGCAAGACTTATGATAGATGGATGAGTTGTGGTGACACTGATGCCTCAGACGTCACTGCTTGGTAGTGTTTGCTTATTTATTTGTACAGCCATATCTATAAAAGGAAAAAGGTTTTCAACATCAAAAGCTCAAACCTTCCATTGTTTACTGAGATTTTTGTCTCAGGAGATCATAGGCCTGAAGGTAGACGTTTCAGAAAGTTGAAGGATGTGAATAGGGGTTTAAATGGTAAAACTTACTCTGGTTGTGAGCCTCGCAGAGTTTAAGGACAGTGGTGCTTGCTGGGAGCTGGGCTCTCTGGCATGAAACCCAGAGATCTTCTGGGTTGCATTCATTTTTGCCTGCAAGAAAGGAAAGAGGAGCAAACAGCATAAGCCTTCTAGCTTTCCCTTCTCTTCCTTTCTCTCACGCGGCTAAGGATACAAAGTATGTGTAAACATCTCAAGCTGATCTATGAAACAGTATGAGGATCTCCGCAGCAGCCTATGGTGTTAGTAATTCTGTAGTTCGCTGTCATCCCTACAGGTGTTTTCCATGCTCTTAAATAGTAACACTGTGTAATAAGGCAAAAAGCAGAGGATGTTAGTACAGCAATATTTAGGGGAAGCAGCAGAATGAGCAGATTGCACTGAATCATTTGTTTTGCCATATGTTCTCAAACTGGCTCCTGGCTAAAGCAGGCTGACTGCAGCTATTCTTGTCGGCGTGGGGTTTTTGGCCACATGTGTGACCAGTGTCACTCAGTCCTGAGGACCCAGTCTCAATTGCTCATTATAAACTTCCTGTATGATATCCATTGTGTTTCCTTTTTTCCAGATGAATTCCTATTCACCTCCCTTTCACACACACTGCTTGCTCATATACACATTGGAAGTGTGTGCCTTTTTACACAATCAGACATGCTTGAACACTGGCCTCAAACCATCTGTTCCTTTCGTGTCGGTTAAATCTGTGTGAATTAAGCAGACCTTTGGCACTGCAGAGGGGAAAGAGATATATATTTAGAATAAATAGGAAAAACTTGCTGCTTTAGGGAGGTTTTCACAACATCCAGTTTAGGTCATCATCCTAGGTCTATGAAATCAGTTCTTTCCAGGAGGCGCTTGTTTTTCTCCCTTTACTATATAAGGAGTTTGTGCTTCTAACTTTGGTTTTCCTGAATCACACTGAGGTTAGGCACATGAGGTAGCTCAGTGCAGACAGAACAAAAATCTTACAAACATACAGCACATATATAGGTTGCAAACATATATAGGTCACAAGCATATGCACAGATCAGCTAGTATGGATCTACTGAGATTGCAAAGACTGACATGGAAAATGGGGAAGTGCCAAAATCTAAGCGTCGTTAAATACATCCAGTTGACCCTGCTTGTGAATATGCATGGCAGTAGTCTTAATTAATCGTATGCCAAGTTTTTATCAGCTCTTCTGGCTTATCCAGTGCACAGACTGAACCAGTCCTGGGAGCCACTTGGCGATGTGTTTAATGGTTTAAATACAGAATTTGGTTTTCCTGCAAAAGGGCAGAATGTGGGTAAGGTCCTTGAATGCAGTCAGAGGGGAGTGGACTGTATCATAATGCTCCCAAATTTCTTGTGCACAGGCTTTTTTTTTAATTGCTGAGGGATATCCTGTGCTCTGGTTATTATGGAAGCCACCCTGGCAGTGGTTGTGTTTGCACAGTACTGCAAATACATGGTTGTGAAATTCTTGGGGAAGCTTGAGGGTGAAGTTGTTATATAAGTATGGCAGATAAATACCTGTGTCCGGAGGTAGGACTTGCAACATTTAAATTACATTTGAAAATAGTCTTATGGTTTAGGTTTCAACATATACTTTGAGGTGAAGTCTCCTCACTAAAACAGAGAGCAGCAAGTCACATACTTGCTGCCTGAGAGTGTATGTCTGCTGAGGCTTCAATTGCATTTTTATGCCTCTGAGCTGTATTTAAGCCGAATATTCTTGCAGTTGTGTTCTCAGCACTCTGCATTGCTTCTGAAGTCTGCCCAGTATCTCTTGCCTTCAGTACCCTCCTTGGATTCTCACTCACTCTCCATTCACAGCTCTGTTGTTGCCTTCCTTTCCCAGTTTTTGTGACCGTGCCAATGAGGATTGTTTGGAGTTCAGTCCATATGTACACATGGAAACTTCTGTTTAAAAATAAATCTAAGGTTCTTCATATACTGGTACTTTAATGTGCCAGTCAATAAGATTGATTGTGATGAAGTTCTTCTTAGCACCAAAAACCTAATCAAGAAATGTTTTGTATCGATCCAGGGAAGGAAATCAGTGTTGCAGTGTGATTGAAGTCATCAGTTACTTTCTGACAGGATTCAGAAAGAGCATGAAATAGGGCTAGAATCCAGATATTTTCAGTGTTTGAAATCACTTGTTCAGAGCACCAGAAAGCCTCACTTTGGTTCCAGAAAGATGATGTGTGGTTTAAATCATTGACCTGAGAAAAAGCAATAAAAAGACTTTGAAAGATAAGCTGGATTTTTTCCCATCCATTTGAATTTTTGCCTCCGATGAGCAAAGGTACACTACTGTTCTCTCTTTGAATCATAGCTGTGTGCCTAGGGAATGTTTTCACCATTTGTTTTTCTCCCAATCTTCTTATTCAGATACAGTATGTTCCTCCTGATGGGGACTAATCAGGTGGCCATTTGTAGGGACGTTTTCCAGGAAGCTCAGCTCAGCTGCACATAAGCAACAGTTGTTGTATACACTAATTGGAAACAAATTTACAAAAATTCTACTTACCAGAACTAATTCTGGCAAGTAGAGAAGATTTAACAGCATCCAACAAGTGTTATCCTTTCAGTTCTTGTCTTACACATCACCAAACAAATAAATTAAGAAGAAATAACTGATGAAAGGCAATGAATGTCACTGCATTTCTTGTGTTTTCTTTACTGAGTTTTCTAGTCTCCTCAAGTTCTTCTAGCTGCTTTAATCATGGTGGTGCTGCTGGGAATAACTGTGTATCATCCATGTGTATTCTGTTGTATTAGTCACTGTAGTGATGAAGTTATACCTTGTGGGTGGTTAAGCAGCCATTTATATATATATATGTGTGTATATATATATATATAAATATGTACATTTTACCCTGTCAAAATGACAAACACGTGGTTTGGTGTTTTATCTCCCTTCTCTCCTTTGTGAGTTCTCCACATATAATGGTCACTGTGGGGTAATGGTTTGGTGGTTAAGCACATGCCAATAGCTCTAATCGAATACTAATCCAAAACTGCCACAGCAGTTTTTGTAAATTCACTTGTCTCTCTCAGGTTTGATACTTTAAGGTTTAAGGGCAAAGTGTCATAACAAAGAAGAATATGAAATGGATTTCAAAGCTCCATCCAGCATACCACAAATGCTTTGTGAGGTTTTAGGACCTGGCAAACTTTGTTTAATGATGATGTCTTGGCACAGCTATCTGAAGAAGCCATTATTCTACAAACATTAATGTTTTAATCTTTTGAGGCCTTCTGACCTGTTAAATGTGCCTGTGATCTATAAATGTGTAATCCAGCCTCTATTCTTTGAAATCATTTCTCCTTTTGTGTGAGGGACTGTTCTGAAGATCAGAAGCCTGTAAACTTCTTATCCATTTCCAGTGGGAAAGAACTGAGTTGCTGAACAAATCCTTTGACCTCCTGACATGATGACGTTTTCCAGTCTTTCCGAATCTCTCTTTTTCTTCCGTATTTAAACCTCTATTCTACTTGCTTTCTGTCAGCTTCCTATTGGCAGACAACTGGCTGATGTTTTACCAGTATCTGTTCACTCAGTGATAGATTGTAAGGATGAAGTACAGTGGTCTTGGCATGGTTGTAATGGCTTATTTCATATTTTTTCATCAAAGTAGCTCATTATAGGAAGAGCTGCAACTTTCAACTTTGATAGTTCTTGTCAACAGAAACTAAAACCAAACAAAGCTGTGTTTTTCCAGTAGAGCAGCAGCTGGATAAAAATGTTTGTTGAAGAGGATGTTATTCTTGGTGTGTTTTTTCCTCAAATTGCTACAATAGCAGACGGATCTATTGCTCTTTGTGGCTGAGAGTCCCTGATATCCCCCTCTGCCTGTGCCCGCATGGGGCATTCAGTCTGGGGTTGAGGAAGGTGCTCAGCCACCTCCCTGTGAACCTGTCCCTGCCCTGTGGGGCTTGCTGCCCTGGGCTGTCTCTGGTTTCCTGGCAGCCATGGGTGTTGGGTAATTGGTGGGAAGTCATTCTGCACATTTGGACCCTTTCTGCCTTCCCAGCTGCCCTGACAAGCTGGATCTGTGAAGGGAATTGATTGTT